AGTCAGCTTGGTATGGGTATAGTGACGTCCGTCCGACATCGGGCTTGACAAGCAGGTTCTAGATGTTGCCATGCTGGGGACCTGGCAGGGAGGAGGTGGGGGTTATGGAGTGAGTGTCAGGAAAGGGTGGAGATAAAGTTGCATGAGTAGGACTTTCTTCTCGTATCACCATGCGGGAAGCTTCCCCTCCACCGATGTTTGCAGGAGACCCACTGTGTGTGGAGCTCTGGGCTTGACCCTGGGGAGAGTCCACCTTTTCGAAGCTTGAGTTTTGATGGAGGTGAGCCCTTCCCCAGGGAAACCCTAAACCACAATTTCATTGTGTCATAGAGCTCTTCTGGAAATGTCTGTGATGAGTGAGGGCAGGCTAGCTGCTGTAACAAGAAGCCTCGTCTCAATGGGCTCCTCAGTAGAGGTGAGGGTCCTCATACAGTCCAGAGCATCTGAGCTGGGAGGCTGGAGGGAGCCTGGCTCCGTGCAGTCACTCAGGGACCCAGGCATCTTCCATTCAGTGGCCCTGCCATCCTTCCCCTCGGGTCTCAGAATCTTCCATGGAATCCCCTGTGTCTGGCCAGCAGAAAGAGAATCATGGGCTTTAAATTTTTTTTTAGTATTTATTTAGTTTTGAGAGAGAGAGAGAGACACAGAGTGTGAGTGGGGAGGGGGCAGAGAGAGAGGGAGACACAGGATCCTAAACTGGCTCCAGGCTCTGAGCTGTCAGCACAGAGCCCAACGTGGGGCTCGAACTCATGGACTGCGAGATCATGACCTGAGCCGAAGTCGGATGCTCAACCGACTGAGCCGCCCGGCCTCGAGAATCATGGGCTGTTTAAAGAGCCAGGTCTGGGAGTGACCTTCCACTGCCTAGGATTCGGTCATGTGAGTCAGCTACCTGTCGGGTCCCACATGCCTGTGTGCCCCAGAGAATAAAGTCATGGGCTTGGTGAGAGCACAGGGCAGTCCCTGTCACAGCATCTCTGCACCCAGGACCATGTAAGGACACCAAAAGGAGCGTCCGCGGTGCTGATGGCCAGTGTGACCAAGCACCAGGCTGTCCGGTCACAAGGCAGACAGGGCGACCTCCGAGCCCAGGCTGGCTGCTCTCCGCTCAGCTCTTCCGTGTAACGGCTGTGCCTCCTTGGGCACCTTGTCCAGACCTCGGTGCGCTCAGCCGGCACACAGAGATGCTAATGACAGTCCCCGCGTCACTGATGCGTGGGAAGAGTAACCGGCCGGGAGAGGAGAGGCCAGTTCTGAGGCCAGTGCCTGGCACGTGGTCAGCCCCTTAGAAATGTGGGTCACGGTGAGAAGAAGCTGGCCTGGACTTCCCGCCACGTATGAGCTGTGTGATGCCCGCGGCGGGGTCACCTTGACCCCCTCCCCCCCACCAGCTTCAGCCTCTGCGTCTCCAAAATGAAGACAATAATCCCGCCCGCCCCGGAGAGCAGCGTTAGGATGAAAAGCGGTGCATCAAGCAGGTAAAAGCTGCTGACCCTGCAGCTTGACGTGTGAGTGTTCAATGAGTCTCCGCTATTTAGTCTCCGTAGACGAGCGTGTGCACACGCGTTACCTGGTTTAATCCTTGCGCTGACTCCCTGGGAGAGAAGACGGCAGGGGAGGGGGCCCACGTGCGTCCGTGAAAGAAACAGTCACGTGCCCTCAGAATGAATGAATGCAGGGAGGAATGAATGAATCATCACGATAACCTGTGTCTTTTGCGGTGGTAGGTAGTCTCCATTTCTCGCAGCGATGGTGACGCCTGCCAAAATAAATTAACTTTCCCACATCAGTGACTCATTTGGCAGGAATAACAGCCTTGCAAACTGAATAAAGAATGAAGAGTGGGGGGGGGGGAGGCCACAGGCAGGGGGGGGGGGGGGGGGGAGGGCTGGGAGAGGAGCATTGTAATGACTCAAAGATGGAAGAACCGGCTTCTTATTCCCTCTGTCTGTCTCTCTCTGCTCGCTCTCTCTTTCTTTTTCACCAAAAACGTAGCTCCGAGGTTCACATTCAATCTTTGAAGTCTGGGAAATAGAGCCTCCAAGCTATTAAGTGGTTTCGGACAGAAGGAGCAAAGAGGGCATCACTGTCCCTCGCTCAGCGGTCGGGTGTTCGGGGCTCGCCGTGGCCACACCGTGCGTGGCAGGTCAGTCTGGGGGCCGGTGCCCCTGGGTCAGTGCTGGGTACTCTACACACTTCCCCTTGCCCGGCCCTCCTCACACCCTGGCCACACCTCCTCCAGTAGCTGGGGAGGCTTCAGGGCAGAGGAAGAAGGAAAGATCAAAGACTGAGACCATGAGTCCTAGAAAGGAAGAGACTTAATTACCTACTTCTTGTCTGCACGGTGGGGGGGGGGGGTTGGTTTACGAGGAGGGCTCTAGGAGGGGAGGGATTCTGCCTGTCTCCTAGAAACCAGGCCAGAGGCAGTGAGCCTGGAGTAAAAGAGATTGATGACAGACACAAAAAGGAACATTCTCGGCTCCGAAAAGGATGACGTGGCCCCCGAAACAGGGCTTGAATGGTTCCGATGGGCTTACTCTCCCGCTCAAACTTTCTCTGGCTCCCCACGGCCGCGTCCATTGGAGAATAATGGTTAAGACCCTGGGCTCGGGGCCAGAGAGACCTGGGTGGGACTCGCTGCCTGGGAAATTTGCTCAACTTTCCCAGCCATTCGTCTCTGAACTGGTGAGTGCGTTTGCTAGGGCTGCTGTGACCTGTCACTGCGGAACTTTGTTCCTCTGAATGGGCGGCTTCAACACAGAAATGTATTGTCTCACCGGTTTGGAGGCCAGAAGTTGGAAGTCAGAGTGGTGGTGAGGTTGCTCCCTGCTGAGGGCAGTGGCGGGAAGGGCCTCTTCCCTCTGTGTGCATCTCTGCGTGTGTCCAAATTTACCCTTTCTAGAAGGACACCAGTCATACTGAGGCAGGGCCCACCCTAATGACTTCAACTTAATTGATTATACCTGCAGTGACCCCACCTCCAAACAACAGAGGTCCTGGGGGTTAGGACTTGACCGTAGGAACTTGGGGGGAGGGTATAATTCAACCCATGAGCAATGGGTACCTACTAGAACATCTCTCGAACGCTGATGGCGAAGATCGAATGAGTTAATGCAAGCAAAGAGCATGAGGGCAAAGCCTGGTGGGTTTTGTGAGCTGCCAAAAAACTGTGAGTTAAGATAATCATCATTATGGCCATAGACACGCTGAGTCACTCACCCGGTGACCCCTTCTCTCTTCTTTATTGATAAATTCCCCTGATGATGCTCAGGACAGCAACCTGTCCAGGCCCAGAAAATGGGCTAGGTCTACATTTTTTTTTTTAAGGCATTATTGTTCCTCTTTGTCAGTGATTGGTCGAGGGCTGGGAAGGTGACCCAGTTCTGGCCAAACAAATGTAAAAAGAAGTCTGGGGGCGGGGGAGTCTTGGAAAGATTTTCTTTCCCAAAGAAAAAGAATTGCATGAGAATACCTCCTAGCTCTTCCTCGTATTCTGCATTTGGCTGTCCTGGGAGGATGGGATGTCGGGTGCCGTGGCAGCTCTATTGTAACCATGAGAATAAGACGTGGTCAATAGTTTGAGAATGACAGAGGGAAAAAGTAAAAACTAGACTATGGTATGTTGAGCCCTGACAGTAGCGGGACCATGTGCCTTAACGTTATGTTAAAGAAATAGTAAAGATTCATATCGCTTAAGCCACCATTAGTGGTGTTTTCTGTGATATGCAAATACAGAACTGATTATTAATTGTGCCAGCCAGGCACCAAGATGGCATCTAGTGATCCCTGACTCTTAGGGGTCACACCCGTCCTTGAGTACCACTGCAGCCCCTTCGCCAGACTGAAAGTACTGAGCTGCATATTGGGGAAAGGATGGATGTGACTTCTAAGGCTGGTCGTACATGACATCGTGGCTTCTAACCCACGCTCTCTCTTGGAGCGCTCACTTGGCGGGAAGCCAGACACTGTGTCGTACGGAGTCTCAACGAGCCTTACGGGTGGCTGGTCCACATTGTGAGGAACTGAGACCTCCTGCCAACGGCTAGCACCAATTTGGCAGGCACATGAGTGCGCCATCTTGGAAACAGATTCTCCAGCCCCAGTCTAGCCTTCAAGTGACTACATGCTCTAAGAGAACCTGAACCAGAACTAGCCCCACCCTCCCTCCAAGCTGCCCCTGAATTACTGACTCACAGAGACTGGGATAACCAGTATTTATTACTAGGAGCCACTAAGTTTGGCGATGGTTTGTAACATGGCGCTAGATCACTATACACCTATTATTCAAGACCATCTAAGATCCGACCCCATCTTGCTTTCTTAGCCCTTCATCTACCCCATACTCCCGTCGATGTGACCCATACACGTCATGCTTTTCCAGGCTCCTGCTGCTTCCCTTGCCTAGAACACCCTCTCCCACAACCCTGCAAACTCTGTCCAGCTCATCCTTTCAAACCTAGTGGCTCAAATTTCTTCTTTGTGAAGCTTTTTTTAGTCCTCCTTGAAAGTGATTTCTCTTCTCTGCACTTCTAGAGCACTTGATACATACTTTTAGGACCAGCAGACGTTTATAGAGCATCTGCTGAGTGTTAGATGTTGAGGATGCAAACGGGGATAATGCATGGTATCCCTGAAACTGAAGATCTTATGTTTTTAAGTGGATGTTATGGTTACATATGTAGCCCTAATCCCTTGAGACCAGGTTGAATAACTAATTCTAATCCTTATACCCCCAGAGCTCCCAGCATGTATAAAACTCAATGAATACCTATTAAATGAATGACTAAAAGAGGGTTTCTTTTAAGCTTATTTATTCATTTTGAGAGAGAGATTGAGAGAGTGCAAGCAGGAGTGGGGCACAGAGAGAGAGAATCCCAAGCAGGCTCTGCACATGGAGCCTGACATGGGGCTCGAACCCATCAACCGTGAGATCATGACCTGAGCCGAAACCAAGAGTCAGATGACTGAGCCACCCAGGTGCCCCTAAAAGAGGTTTTAATAGAGGCTTTAATAAATAACAGAACCCCCACAGAAAATGACTTAAGCAGTAAACAGTATTTATTAGATTATATAACTAAAACTTCCATAGGTAAAGCTTCAGGCAAGGTTGGATCCAGGGGCTCAGACAATGTCATCAGGGCCTGGAATCTCTATTTCATGGTGCTGTGTTGTTTCATTCTCAGGTCGCTCGTCTTCAGAAGGTAACCTTTGGGCAGCTCCCAATCCTGAGACTAAGGGACAGAACATCTCTTTCCCCTCTGATCTTACAGAAGTCTCAGGATCAGCTCTGATTGTCTCTGATTGAATCGCACAGACATCCTTGAGCTAATTCACTGTGGCTACGGGGATGCAATGCTCTGGTTAGACCTAGGTCACATATTCGCCCTATATTAGCTATCGATTGCTGCATAACAAGTTACTCCCAAGGTTAGCAGTTTAAAACAATTCACCTTTGTTATCCCATAATTTCTGTGGGTCAGGAATCCAGGCACAGCTTAGCCGGCTCCTCTGCTTCACATTCTCTCACGAGGCTGCTCTCCGGGTGTTGGTCCTGGGTCCATAGTCTCATCTGAAGGCTCAACTGGGAAAGCATCCACTTGCAAATGCACTCAGTGGTTGTTAGCAGGATTCGGTTCCTCGTGGGACGTTAGACTGAGGGCCTGAGATCCTCACTGGCATAATTACCTTGGCTGGAGGTTGCCCTTAGTTCTTGCCACATGGGCCCTCCACGTGGCAACTTATTTCCTCAGAACGTGCGTGCTGAGAGAGCAACAGAGATAGTCCATGAGCAAGATGGAGATCACCATCGCTTATAATTAAATCACAGAGGCAACATCTCATTACTGTCTCTGTGTTCTATGGATTTGAAGCCAATTCATAGGGCCAGCCCACACTCAGGAGGAAAGGATCACTCAAGGGTGTAGATACCAAGTGAGAGGGATCATGGGGCCATCTTGGAAGACCCTCTACCACACGCCTATATTAGTCAGAGGTGAAATCAGCCCAAACTACGAGGATGGAAAGCCAAGGGAGTGATGCCCCCAAGGAATACGGGGGTGCTTTTACCAAAGAAGGAAGGACGGCTTCAACATGCACAAAGAGCAAAGTCCTCTCTGAAACAACTAGGGGTCTCTGTACTGATCACCTACGTGGGCATCATGTCATCTACCTGGCTTGTTCCTACAAGACTGTACTGTGTACCCTGGATGAAAGAATGTCCAACTCGCCAAATTTTCCGCAGCATTGTCGTCGGGGTCCTCAACGTTACTTTCTCTCAACGTTACTAGTTTGAAAGTTTATAAAAGTGATTTCTAAGTGTGGTTTAGCTTGTGTGTCCCTAATAATGGCTGTTGAAAGGAACGGCATTTCTCTCTTGACCGTTCTTCAACCATTTAGCATATGCCGGCCTTCAAATTCCCAAACAAGATTATAAAATCCCCAGGAGTAAGGATCATGTCCCCTCTAGGGCACACAGGGTAAGTCTTCTGCCCTCATAAAGACAGAACAAACGGTGTTTACCAACCCACGAGTTTCAGGCTTTTCTGATGTTTGCTGAGCTTGCGTTTCTTTCACAAGAGGGACTTTGAATCTACATAAAAATATATGTGTAACTGGAAGAAGCAGTAAACTGTTCCGGGTCCACGGAGTTCAGAACCGCAGCTCAAGTCAGCTCACTGGGGAAAGAGCGGCTTGGTTTGAGGCCGGGTGGGCAGGAATGTTATTTTATTCTTGGGATAAATGCAAGCTTAATTTTTCAGTCTTCTTTAAATAACCCTCGAAGAGGTGCTAAAGCTGAAATTACTTCTAATTGAGCCAACTTAGCAGTAGCTCCTGAATATTCGCTCACGTGAGTGGAATGAGATTTCACTTGGTTTCAGCCTTGAACCTGTCTCTTTCATCTCACTCTCTCACCTTCCCCAAGGCCAGGGATTTAGCCTGCTCTCCAAATCAAATCGGAGGCCTTCTGCAAGGCTGGAGTCTCGTCTCTGACCACTTGCTGCTTCTAGCCACCAAACACAGGGCAGCAGCTGGGGGTTGGGTAAGGTTGAGAAGGAGTGAGCTTCTGGTTTTTTGGGTTTTTTTGGTTTTTTGTTTTTTCCTGTCTTCAGCAGACCTGAAGATTTATCAGTGCAGTGGAAATGGCACAAACTGGGATCAAATCCTGGCCCACCACTTGGGCAAATCACTTCGCGTGCCTGAGCTACAATTGCTTCATTCGTTACAAGGAGATTATAATCCCTCCCACCAAGGTCGTGATTAGTGGTGTGCAGATAAATGTGTAAAAAGCAGCTCTCTCTCGAGGAAACCCCGGTTTGTAGCATTTGCCGATTACCATGGTGCAAATACTCTCACCATGCCAATTTCAGGCTGCCAATATGAGGTTGCCGAACAGAGTTGGAAAGAGATACACTGTAGCATATGCCGCTGTCTGGTGTTACCATCATACAGACTGAATAGAAGTAATCCCCAAAGCGCAGATAGCAGAAAACTGTGTAAATTAATTGAGGGATTTTGAGTATTTATTTCCTTTGTTTGTAATATAGTTAGTTGCAAGTTTATACAATTTCTTTTTAAAAGTAATAGCTGTTCCCCCCTGCTCTCAAAAATCCTATACCTTAGGGGCACGAGGACCCAAAGCTGAGATGGAGGAGACAAGTCTGCTGGTGACTAAAGTACAGTATAATTTATTGGGACGTTAAGGGCCGGGAATGCAAAGTCAAACAGACTCGTATTCAAACGCTGTTTCCCCAGATGAGCGCCTGGGTCAGGCAGTTCACCCTCTCAGTAAAATTCTCTTCTCATGTCAAATGGTTTACGCTCATCCGTACAATCCTCCTCTCCTCCGGTTATTGTGTCTGAATGAGATAACGAAGGGAAAGCGCAGAGCCTGGTACATAGTAACAGCTCAATAAATGGTACGTACGTGTTCTCCTTATTCATGTGATAATGATGCTAATGGAGAAGTGTGAACGTCAAGTCAGGAGCCTAGCAGAGGGACAGACTAAGGAGCTGGGTTCGAGCCAGGCGTGAGGAAGCAGGCGGGGGGGGGGGTGCATTTGGAGCTGGAAAATTGGAAGTGAGGTTGCCTTGGGCAGATGGGCACCCCTGCCCTTGAAGAAGAAGAACCCCAAATAGAAGCCTTGAGCCTGCCCCTCGCGTTGGATGTAAGCCCGTCTCTGAGGTGGGAATCAGGGACAGGGGGCAAATCAGCGGGCTCAGAAAGGAAAAGTTGGAAACTCACATGAGATGCTGCCTGTTTCCTTCACCCCAAGGCCGTGGTGGGGTCTCTGCCCGGAGAGCTGTGAACCCACGGTGGTCGGAGTAGGAGCCGCCCCCTCAGACCGAAGCAGAACTTCAGAAAAGATCGGTTGCTTGGATAAGGAACAGATTCGGTTACTCAACCCGACCTGTCCTTATCGCCAGAGACCCAGCTCAATGCCCTCTCAGGCTCAGACGCAAACAGCAGGACTCTGGGCCGTGACCAGCTTGCGTCCTCAGAGCTGACTGTGGGGGGAGCCTGGGATTCGGTCTCCAGTGCTCCTCCACCAGGGGACGTCCCGGATGGTGACCACAGGACCTTTAATGGTGCTTGTCCGCACGGGAGGAAGAGGCCGGCAGGTGCGGCTCCCCGTAAAGGGCTATGAAATTTCCCAATGAGTCTGGGTTTTCCTTAAACCAGAAATTACCACGAACCGTTAACGCCGAAGATGCACCTCCATCAGCCCATGGGCTTGGCGGGCCACCTTTGAGCCGCTCCCAGATGCAGCTGTCACTCACGCCACTACCCCCCTAATTTCCTCTTTCCGAGCTGCAAACACACGGTGACAGTAGCCAACAAAAATCACTGAGTGCCAGCACTTTATCTGCGGACTCTCACTTAGTCCCCACAACAGCCTATGGGGTAAGTTTTATCCTGTTACAGCCCCATTTTATAGATGAGGAAACTGAGTTTGAGTAAGAGAACACACCCTTCCACGGTCACCCAGCTCGCAAGTGGCCAAGTGCAGGATTTAAACCCAGGTCTGTGTGCTCCACAGCCCCCCTTCCCTAGCTGCTCGTGCCCTGGGGGCCCCGTGTTCCCAGATGAATTACTCCCCCGGGGCAGGCCGGGACTGGGGTGCGGGCGCCGCAAAATGGAGGGGAGGGCTCACTCAGGTTCACGTCCCCTGACGCCTGCCCGGCCTGCACCTCGGGTGAGGCTCTGCGCCCCCAGGGCAGGCTAAGGGGCTTCTTGTCCACACCAAGGTCAGGGCAGCTCCCAGACAGGAAAAGCGTTCTGGTCAAACCAGCTGTGACCAGAGATCCTTTCTCCCAGCGTCCTTCCCCAGGGTTCTCTTCTGCTCTCTCCCTGGGAAGCAGGCTTGGAAAAGGAATTTCCGGAGGCCTCCTGGACCCCCAGCCAGGCGGCCGAGGGCGCCCTCATTTGGTTTTTTCCTGTGTTCACGGCGGCTCCCCCCTCCTGGTTGTCCCTCTGGGCGAACTCAGTGGTACAGGCTCTGGGTGAGGTCATCACCCAGATCTGGCTTTGAGCCCGCCTTCACTTCCAACCACCTGTGTGATTTTGGACGATGGACTTTTCTCTCTGTGGGCCTCGGTTTCCCCATCTGTAAAATGGGACCAAGGATGCATGCTTTGAGGGTGTATTCGTTTCTTGTGGCTGCTCTGACAAACGACCACAGGCGATAATAATAGTCATTGTTTACCCGCACCGTTCTGGAGGCCCCAAGTTCAAAATCAAGATGGCAGCTCCTCTGAGAGCTTGAAGGGAAAATCCTTTCTGGCCTCTCCCAGCTTCTGGTGGCCCCACACAGCCTGTGGCTGTGGACCATGTGGACCATCACTTCAATCTCTGCCTCTGTCTTCAAGGGCCTGGTTTCTGAGTCTTGGAAGGACACTGTCATTGGGTGTAGGGCCCACCCTCATCCTGTCTGAGCTCATCTCAAGGCCCTGTTTTCAAATAAAGTCACATTCTGAGGTTCTGGGGGACGTGAATTTGGACACGACACAGAAATAGGCCTAATCTCCCCTCTGCTCTCTTCAACCCCTCATGGAGGCTGTGATATTGATTGATTGATTGATTGATTTATATAAATGTTTGTTTTTGAGAGAGCGAGGGGGGGAGGGGGAGGGGCAGAGAGAGAGGGAGACAGAATCCCAAGCAGGCTCTGTGCCGTTACCGCAGAGCCCAACGTGGGGCTAGAACTCACAAACCATGAGATCATAACCTGAGCCAAAACCAAGAGTCAGTGCTTAACTACCAGGCCACCCAGGCACCCTGCAATATTTAATTTTATGTGTCAGCTGGACAGGGCCACTGGGAGCCCAGATGTTTGGTTCAACATTATTTCTGGGTGTGTCTGGGAGGGTGTTTAAGGATGAGATTAACATCTGAAAGGGTAGACCGAGTTGGGCCGGTGGCGCTCCCCTCCCCCACAGGGGTGGGCCTCACCAGCCCCTGAGGGCCAGAATGGAGCAAAAAAACAAAACAAAACAAAACAAAAAACAGCGTGGAGGAGGGGTGAATTCCCTCTCTCTTCCTGATTTTGAATTGGGACGTTCCTCTTCTGCCCTTGAACTGGAACTACACCCGCAGCTCTCCTAGGCTCCACCTCGCAGACAGCAGGTCGTGGGACTTCTCAGCCTCCATAACGCATTAGCCAATTTCTTATAAAAAACTTATTTTTCTCCCTCTCCCTCCTAAGAAGTAGATAGATCCATAGAGATAGAGATAGGTCTATGTGATATCTATATCATATACTCTATATCTATATGTCTCTATGTTAATCTATATCATATAAGATACATATCATAAGTGATATGTGATACATATCACATATAGGATATCTATATGTTTATATACAGAACTACTTAGATAGAATTTTATATTTTCTCTGGTTTTGTTTCTCTAGAGAACTCTGACTAATCCAGAGGCTTTTCCCCCGTGGAAAGAGAAGGGCAGCTTCCAAGAGCAGTGTGCTTGGGCGGATGACTTATGTCCCCTCTGCTTACAGCCAGTTCCCTCTTCATCGACAGGCTCTTCTCTCCCACTTCTGAGTGAGTGTGGGGGAGGATGAATCAAGGCCAGAGTCTCCACTCATCTGAACTGTACTTTCCATGGAAATAAACTTTCCCAGGGAGGCTCACTGCCTCCGTGCTATTCTCTGTCCAGAGCCAGAGTTCAACAGCAACGTCAGTCATGACGAGAGAACCATGGCTGGCGGGAGCCTGGCACGTGGGGAGCCTGGCATGTGGGAGCCTGGCACGTGGGGAGCCTGGCACGGGTGTCTTGCGGGGGAAATCGCGAGAATGGAAGTCTTCGGGGGGAGGAGCGGTCCAGTAAGGAGCCCAAGGGTGTGCAGCTGGGCAGAGGTGGCGGTGTTGGGAGGTTATGCCGATGGCTCGGTGCCGCAGCCCTCAGCTCAGACGATTTGAGATGACGCTTGCCTTGTGCCGGGCTGGGCACGGTCATGTGCTCGCTCCATCCTCACGGCCACCTTATGAGGCCGTTGCCCCAGTCGGCAGACAGGGCTCAAACAGAACAGAACCAAAGTTCAAAGAAGGGCAGTTCTGACTCCGTGAACCTGCAGCCGTCGGAGTCAGGGTCAAACCTAAGGCTGCCCATCCCCCAAAGCCCTCTTTTTACCCTCCACAGAACTGTCTCTGATTCCACTCTCCTCTGTCTTCCAGATCCTTCCCTGTGTGGGGGCAGGTGTGGGAGGAAGGTTTCCCAGAAGCGGGGGGGGGGGGGGGGGGGGGGGGGGGGGGGGGGGGGCAGGGTAGGGAGCTGTCTCCTTCATCTGGTCTTCATTCTACAGAGAATGAGAAAGATTCTGGGTGTGTGTGAGTGTGTGTGTGTGTGTGTGTGTGTGTGTGTGTGTGTAGGTAGGGGAGGGACAGGGATTGGGGTGGGCACACATTCCTCGGCGGTTGGGCCAGAGGCGGTGAAGGCATCTGCCCCTCCCCCTCCCATCCCCTCTCCTCCCCTCTGCCCCCCATCGCCCCTCCCCGGAGGATTCTGCTAGGCAGCCTGGGACGAGTGAACGAGTGAACGGACTGAAAGCCCGGGCGGGCACACGGCAGGGGTCAGCAGGGGCTAAGCGGGTCAGGGCCCTCGCCTCTGCCTCCCCGGGCTCCTGAACACTGAGGATTACAGCTTCGGCTTCTGCTGTTTAATCAGCTGGTAGCAATTTAACCATTACACCCCAGTGAGAGAATCCAAGACATTTCCTAAGGGGGGGGAAGGGGAAGGCTCAGATGGGAAGAATGCAGAAAGGGGGGTAGAGACACAAAACAGCTTTATTAAAAAGAAAAGGGGTGGGGGGAGGAACATGATCTGTAATTGTATCTCAGCTTGAAATAAAACTCCCAGGCCTGGGTAGGGAAAGAGCCCCCGGAGACGCTCGGGTGAGGGAAGCTGGGGGTGGAAGTGGGGAAGGTGGGTGCAGGCTGAGGGCGAGGGGGACATCAGAGGAGCTTGGAAGTGGGGGGTGGGAAGGGGTTTGGTCTCCTGCCACAAGGGGCGGCCTCCGCGCCCCCCCGCCCCGAGAAGTCCCTGCCCCTTGCTGGATGCAGGCCCCTCTGACTCGGGGACAGCAGAGCAGCTGAGCAAGGATTGACTCGCTTTGCGCCACTGGCTTATGTGTAAGTGCTTGGAAGAGGAGATCCGAAGGCGAGGGGAGATTCTTCATCAAATGCATTTTCATTCTTTAAAAAGCAAGGCCAAAAGCCTTCCCTGCTCGCTGCCATTTTCTCTGTGCCCCAGTGCACCCCACGTGCCCAGACCTGAGCCCAGGTCACTGACCCTGCAGGTCACCTGCCGCACGGGGGCTCCCAGGCCAGGCGGGAGGGAGCCTCCTCTGTGGCCTGATGCAGAGCACGGAGGATGTCCCTGGAAGGGGACCTTGGAAGAAAGCAAGGACGGCCTTTGGGCTATAGAAAGAGCACCCGCGTTGAAGTCTGATTCGAACCCCGGGCTGTCCTTGCCCAGCTGAGTTAACTGTGGCAAGTTGCTAAGCCTGTCTGAACTTGAAGTCTCCCTCTGGGTGTATGGGGGCTGGCACACTTTCTGCGAAGGGTCAGGAGGTCTATATCCCGGCAGCCCGTACAGTCCCAGTGGCAACTACTCAGCGTGATTTCTGTGGCCTGTGTGTGGCGATGGCCCTGCACAAACGAAGAGGCTGCATCCAGTACAACCTTACGAAAGCAGATCGCTGGCCCGCAGGCAGTGGTTTGCTTCCTGATGGTCTAGAAAATTGGAAGGAGGAAGCCCACCTTCTGGGGCTCCAGTGAGAAGGAGACGCGGTGGTGTGTGGTAGCATGATGCCGGGGTCCAAAACAGCTTGGCCGATTGGCGGGGCGACTGAGACGGTGAGATTTTTCTGCCCAACAATCTTTCTACCGACTTTCCATCATTTCACATCAGGCGCTGGCCAGACTCAGCAATTAAGTTGGTGGATAAGCCACTCAC